TTTAAAGGGAAGCACTTTCTTGGGCAGAAACAGTACATTTCAGATTTTAATTAGAGAATAATACTCCTCTAAGACAAAGGCCTTGTTGCAGTAGATATTAAAGAGATGCTCACTTTGCTGACATGTTGGTCTTGTCTAAAGCACATGCAAACAAAGAACAGAAAGTACTTTGAAAGACAAAATGCAGTGTCACGGGCCTTCTTCAAGGTATAGCAACAGGAACATCTATTTTACCATTTGCCGCCACAGTCTGGGAGGTTATGTCTGCACACAGGAAGGCTACATTTCCCATCTTTCTGTTCAGCAGATGGTAATTTCCCTGGGGCAGCAGGGGGAGGCTGGACACTTCACTTAAATGTCCGTTCAGACAGGCCTGGTCCGCATTCATCAGTGGAACTTCACTAAGTTTCACTGATGGATGCTGGTGTTTACTGAACCTGAGGAGCTCTTGATCTAAAACCTTATCCTTTCTGTGTGACCCTGAGTAGTCTCCCCTGGTTAGGTCCACATTTCACTTAGCTATCCTGACAAATGTTTGTGTGGCAGCATGTTAATTCTTTTATTTATTTTTTAATGGCAATTCAGCTCATATTATGAAATTATGACCAAGTGCTTCTGGGCAATCATTAGTAAGCATAATGTGATGTGTGTGGTGCAGCTACCGATGTTGTGGTGCATTTTTTAAAATAAATTAGTCTCAATTTTGAGCTTTCAAACACTGAACGAAAATATATACGCACTCTACCTGCAGGGCTTGGAGAAGTTGGCGGACATTTCGGGGGACAGGATCGCATTGTTAACACATCCTGTTGTTGCTGTTTGCTAAATTTAACCATTTTCTAACCAGATACACATCAAAAATGGTAGTTTAGTTTTGTTTATTTATCTATTTTTAGCCAAAAGAGAGGTCTATTTGCATGTTGTACAATACAGATTTTTGATCTTGACATTATTTACAGTTTAGGCCTGACTCTTTTTTTTTTCCAATTAAAATGTAAAGTAATTGATTTTTTTCCTATGATTTATTTATTATCTGTAGTTTAACAAAAAAGGTGGGAAAATGAAATGAAATGAATGAAATGAAATGAAAAATACTTTATTTATCCCAGAAGGGAAATTCAATTACAAGTTGCTGCCACCTAGCGGCGCATTCCAGAACGGAATGTTGTTAAAATGCTAAAATGTTGCTTTATTTACCATTTTTCATTCTTCAGTATATTCTTTTTCTTTCAAATGGCCAAAATCTGCAAAATAACAACATTTTTGTAGATTTAGAAAAGGATTTTTTATTATTATTATTTTTTAATTGTGTAATTTTACAGTCAAATTAAAATTTATAGAAAACAACACATTTTTGATGTGGACATTTATACTTTGGCCTGCTTTTCTTTTTTTCCTCTTTTTTACAGTTAGTGAGTAAATAAGTACTTTTTTTCTGTGAGTTTTACTAGTTATGTGTAATTTAACAATGATATGACTGTAAAATAATAATAAATTGCTCTAAGAATTGCTGTTGAAACTGGTTTTTAAAGGTGATTTTAAAGTGCTGCCGTCCACTGAGCCTCCCTGCCAGTTAATCATGTCCTGTTTGAACAATATATTACAGCAATTTTATTATTTATTTCACTTTTAACTTTTTTTTTTCTTCTTAGAACTGTGACCATATTAGCTGCTACAAATAGGATGCCAAACGAAACTTTGCTGTATTTTTGTACAATGACAATAAAGCTTCTTCTTCTTCTTATATTGAAGCTGGTTTTTCCCCCTCAGCTTCTTAAGCTTCTGCCGGAACACGGTTTCCTTGGAAACGTAAACAAACCGGCAGTGATTTCTCTCTCATCCCGCTCACTGGCGCTCAAACTACCTTCCGCTTCATTTTACGCGCACTGACTGACCGATCTGTGCTCCGTTTAAATCGATACTCTGAGCTGCTGTGCTGCTTTTTAATCCACCTGATGGACCTGAACAACGCCCGGCGCGCGTCCTCCGCAGGTTACCGGCTACCTGAGCGATCCAACGGGACGAGGACGACAACCAGCCAGGCACCGGCGGAGAGGACGCGGTGGGCCGCCGGAGACGGAGCTGCACTAAACCCGGACAAGAGAGACCCCGTTAAACAAGACGAGGTGTGGAAGGAGGTGGTCTGGCGAGAGAGGAGAGGCGTCCTGGAGTGGTGAGTGGGACTGAAAGAGAGCTTCATTTAACTCTTTTTTCTAATTTTTAAAAAACTGTCTTTAGAGGAACTACACTGTCAAAAACAAAACAAGTCGTGTATTAGGGAGTAAGTTGTGGCCGATGTTAGTTTAATATTAGTTAAAGGTCAATAAAGGTGAACAGACTTAACTCATAGATTGTGGTC